TTATGGGGGAGAGTATGTGTGTGTGTGTGTGTTTACTGTGTAGGGTCGGATTAAGTTGGGAGCTTTTGATGCCTCAGCATTAGGCCCATTCGTGAAATAGGCCCTTTCGTGAAATAGGCCCGTTCGTGAAATAGGCCCGTTCCTGAAATAGGCCAATTCCTGAAATAGGCAAAATCCTGAAATAGGCCTAGATGAAAAAAAGACGAGAATTTTCCGGAAGCTGAACAGTTTTCCTTTGCTCTATTGACCTCAAAACAATTCGTCGAATGAAATTCTGAGTTCAATTTCCGGACGCCTAGATACGACATTACGTTCTTTACAGTTACTATTGGTCTTTGCGCTGTGACGTAACTCTGACGTCCATAGGTATGGGCTATGTTGACGGCTGGCGATATTTGTGACAACATAATGTGTATTTCTCTTGGAACTGACGTCATTGAGCAGATCGAGGACATAACCTATAATCTCGTTTCATAGTACCCAGAATGATGCCAGGGGACTTGGAAGACACAGTGGTGGCTGAACTGAAAACAGCTTGCTGCTTTAATGCGCACACAGAAACCGGTGACGGAGAACGAATCAGCAGAGCTTACCACGGATATGTTGGTTTTTTTTTTGTCATCGTTGAATCTCTCTCAAACATTTGCGATCCGTCGAGATTGGGTTGCGCACCTGTCTGTGCATGATGGTGTCTAATGCTTCCGGCGAGCTGAGCTTCTGAAAGTCGAGAATAGTCAATGGATTGCTGAGGTTCTCAATGGGGGCAGGAACGACTTAGTATGCTGGCGCCAATGAGCATTCAGGGCTGCGCAGCCTTGACTTCACTTACACGATCGAAGGATTCGTGCTTTCTAAGGCTCGAAAAACAGCAATGCAATAATTAATCAGCACTGGCGCAGTAGCTAAAGTGAAAATTTGCCCTTGTTAAGTTGATCTGGTTTAGCATTAACGGCACAATTGTTGTAGACAGTTGATGTTACATAGCTTGATGTTAATCTCGAGTTTTACGATAATACGTCCTTATTTTTTTAAAAATTCATGTTCAATAAAGACTGGCTGGTTGGTTGGCTGGCTGGTTGGTTGACTGGCGTGTTGGTTGGTTCTCTGGCTTGCTGCCTGGTTGGCTGGCTGGCTGTTTGGCTAGCTCGTTGGTTGGTTGGCTGCATTTTTCACTGCAGCAGAATGGGGGAGAGTATGTGTCTTAATACGGCGCTGGAAGCGTAGGGCTATATCGGTCACCATATCGTGGTAAGGAAATGTATGAGGAAGCTTGAAATATAAAGACAATAAAAATTGATGTAAAGAAGTAGAATTTCAAAAAGTAGCACTTTACGGGCGTCACGTGTTTTCGATACCCGTTAGCTACTCTAAGCTCTCATCACTTAATAGTTTTTTCTTAGCGTCATTTCCATTGTTAAACCCTGAACTGCAAGGGTCGTCGCGTTCGTTTTCCCACTTTGAACTCCCGCGATTATCATCACCATGGTTACAAGAACTTCCATCCTCGAAGACCACGCCGTCGGTGTTGTGGAACCTGCGTTTGCTGGCTCGCAGGAACATCTCGGTGGCGAGGTACCCCAGGAAGCCGAGGGCGTAGAGCGTCAGCGCCAGGTACAGCTGGTGGTACAGGCAGCCAAAAGCCGAGACGGACAGGACGAGGAGAAACCCCAAACACTTGGACGCTTGAAAGGCGGAGAACACCGACGGCAGGTTGTCCCCGAAGACGCTGGCGATGAAAGCTGTGGACGCAAAGGTTGAAGGGAAATCGTTTAAAATCAACTGAGTTGGGGGGGGGGGGGTAAAAAGGATAATTAAAAAGAATAACAAACAGCGGGGTCTATAACTAACAACTGCTAGCAGTGCTGAGGAGTCGGATAAAAAAATATCCCACCCAAACTTGTCGGCGCAAAAACCGTTTGAATTTGGAAACGACTGTGACCAACTTTCTGGAATATGACGCTAAATGGAANGGCGATGAAAGCTGTGGAGGGAAAGGTTGAAGGGAAATAGGTTAAAATCAACTGAGTTGGGGGGGGGGGTAAAAAGGATAATTAAAAAGAATAACAAACAGCGGGGTCTATAACTAACAACTGCTAGCAGTGCTGAGGAGTCGGATAAAAAAATATCCCACCCAAACTTGTCGGCGCAAAAACCGTTTGAATTTGGAAACGACTGTGACCAACTTTCTGGAATATGACGCTAAATGGAACACCAATCTTTTAAGAGGAGGAGGCCGATCTTTGCGACATTACTGACACCAACGCCGCTGAAATCTTTTGGTCTCTGCAAAGTGTATTTTTTAATTCCATAAAAAGCGCACTTTGCTTAAAATTGTACGCGCCTAATAACTAACTGCCTATAAATTAAAAAAACAACAACAACAAAAAAACAACAACAACAGGCGAAAACTATCTAACAATGATTTAAAAAAATAACAACAGGCGAAAACTATCTAACAATGATTTAAAAAAACAATAACAGGCGAAAACTATCTAACAATGATTAAAAAAAACAACAACAGGCGAAAACTATCTAACAATGATTTAAAAAAACAATAACAGGCGAAAACTATCTAACAATGATTTAAAAAAACAATAACAGGCGAAAACTATCTAACAATGATTTAAAAAAACAATAACAGGCGAAAACTATCTAACAATGATTTAAAAAAACAATAACAGGCGAAAACTATCTAACAATGATTTAAAAAAACAATAACAGGCGAAAACTATCTAACAATGATTTAAAAAAACAATAACAGGCGAAAACTATCTAACAATGATTTAAAAAAACAACAACAGGCGAAAACTATCTAACAATGATTTAAAAAAACAATAACAGGCGAAAACTATCTAACAATGATTTAAAAAAACAATAACAGGCGAAAACTATCTAACAATGATTTAAAAAAACAACAACAGGCGAAAACTATCTAACAATGATTTAAAAAAACAACAACAGGCGAAAACTATCTAACAATGATTTAAAAAAACAACAACAGGCGAAAACTATCTAACAATGATTTTTAAAAAAAACAACAACAGGCGAAAACTATCTAACAATGATTTAAAAAAACAATAACAGGCGAAAACTATCTAACAATGATTTAAAAAAACAATAACAGGCGAAAACTATCTAACAATGATTTAAAAAAACAACAACAGGCGAAAACTATCTAACAATGATTTAAAAAAACAACAACAGGCGAAAACTATCTAACAATGATTTAAAAAAACAACAACAGGCGAAAACTATCCAACAATGATTTTAAAAAAAAACAACACCATTGTTGGATGTAATTTATAATACGTGTGTCCAAAATCTCACCGTTGAATTGCGGCTGCAGGATACCCTCGGAAAATCCTGAAATGCCCGGTAGTATAAAGATCAACTCCCTTGGGGTTTGCGCATTCGGCTCCCAGATGAGCATGGTGACCAAAGATGCCAAATCCAATGTGATACCCAGGGCGAAGATGGCGGGGCGACCCAGGAACCGAACCAAGTTGTTGACGACCAAGGACGAACCAGCTGCTGAAACGCCAAGCGCAGTCATCGAGTATCCAATCCACTGAACACCAACGGTGCACGTCACAAAAGCCTGAAAGGTAATATTTTAAATACAAATTATTCTACTAAATTCTAGTATCGTTTCTTTATCATTTTATTATGTGGGAAAAAAAAAGATTTGATTTTTGGTCTCCGCAATTTCCATTATTCTCGATCAATCCCTAAGGCGCTACAACCCATGTAGAGCTTTGGCCTGACTCACCACATCCTGCAATGAAAGCCAAACAACTGAAAAAAAAAACAACACTATCTTCTAGTCTAAGAGAAATATGGGGAGGACTGCGTTCAGGGAAATTAGAAAATGCAAAGGGTAGAGGAAAACCTGAAGAGGGACAATACAAAAATGTGGACGTTTCGGCCAAAAAGTCGTTTTGAGCAAAGATGTATAGTGTAGTCTGCAAGATAGAGATACACACTCTTAGCTTGTTGTATAGATGTGCAGTCTACACGACACAGACAGACACTCTTAGCTTGTTATATAGATGTGCAGTCTACACGACACAGACAGACGCTCTTAGCTTGTTGAACAGATGTTTATTTGACACGTGTTATAAAATTAGTTTATTTCGATGTTTGGATTCCGAGGGAGTCTTCAGGCGTACTGTATTACTCCTTTTTTCATTTCTTGATTGTGTTTAAAGATGACAAATAACAATGGCTGACGTCACTCAATAAGAACAATATAGATTCAAGAAAATAGTGTCAGCTGAAGCTTTAAGCCGTAGGCAAGTTTTGAGCTAACAGAGTACCTAGAGAAAATAACAATACAAAACTCTTGGTAACATGAGATCTTTCAGTCATTTTTTAATGAGATGATTCCTTCAAGCTACCTCACGTCCTAAGTGCCATAAACTCACTCACTAAGCCCAATAAACACGTCCTAAGTGCCATAAACTCACTCACTAAGCCCAATAAACACTTCTTAAGCCCTATGAACTCGCGTCCTAAGCCACATAAACCCACGTCTTAAGCCCCATAAAATAACACCCTAAGCCCCATAAAATGCAATTTGTTACACATATCAAAATTATGTTTTGTACTCTTTGCATTGAAAGAGTTTTCTAATTTCGTCTCAAATTTCATCTAAAGTTTTCATCTAAGATAGACTTAATCTTGGGGGGAGTGCTTTTGAATACACCAGTGAATCTCACAGTCGACCTCTTGACCACCATTCAACTTTTAGTAATTTTTATTATTTAAAAAAAAAGTTTTTCCATTATTATACCTGTGCAGAAACCCCCCCCCCCCAACCGTGTGGCTCCCTACTTATCTTTATTTATCTTGTAAACAACCCACGCATGACTCGCTCACCTTTGTGTACCCCGTGTACATCGTCATCACCGCCATTTTTTTTATTTAAAAAAAAAGTTTTTCCCTTTTTTTCCCCGGGCCGAAACCCCCCCCCCCCCAACCGTGTGGCTCCCTACTTATCTTTATTTATCTTGTAAACAACCCACGCATGACTCGCTCACCTTTGTGTACCCCGTGTACATCGTCATCACCGCCATCGCCTGAGCAGTGAAAAGGGGCGCCAGGATGACGAACTTCCAGGAGATAAACTTCTTGCAGCAGCCACTCAGGTTGGCACACACGTTCTGATGCTTCGGGCTGTCCGTCTGGTAGGCGGCGACGTGAAGCCTGGGCAGACACAAGGCGGTCAACACCGTCCCAGTGAGGTTAAACGCTGCGAACACCCCCAACAGCGTAAACACGACCTTCTGATCAGGGTCATCGATGACGGTGGCGTTTCCGGAAGCCGCGCAGACGGCAGCGCCGCAAACATTGTCCTCGAGAATGGTCTCGTTGTAAGACGAAGAAAATAAGATCATGGATGAGATGAAGTTCCCCGAGATGTGGGTGCCTGTGAAACAAGAATAGAAGAACCCGTTGAACATGCTTAGAACCCCGTGGAGCCGGGACGTGCTCAGCGCGCTGTAGAACAGGAAGCTCTTGCTGGATGCGGTCAGGTACAGCCCCATGGACATCGCGAGGCCGCTGATGCCGAAGCCGAGGAGAATCGAGGAAGGGACCAGCGTGGCGTAGCTGGGTCTGAAGTTGGCGAGAATGTAGAGCAGGTGGAAGAAGAAGCCGACGAGGATGAGGTTCTTGGGCCCGACCGCTCTGACGCTGACTGGTCCGATGAAGGTACCAATCATCATGCTGGAATAAGTAATCGCAAGGGACGCTACCCCCAATCCATCTTCATGGTTGAGGCTACTCTACAAAAAAAAATAAAAAAAATAAAGAAGAATACATATATATAAGGAAACGGTGAGAATCAAACAGTTTTTTCCAGATAGGTTGTTTTATTTTTTTTTAATTAACAAAAAATGTATACGATGTAAAAAGACATATCACATGTAACTTATGTGACTGATTGAGCAAGTTTAAGAGCAAGTTCAAATCCAACTTATTGTTAGAGTCCACTATAAATAAATGAAACCAACCGAATTTAAATTTTGTTACATGGATCCGAATTTATTCTTTTAGCCGCAACTACAAAAAAAAAACAACAACAAAAAACAAAATAAAAATATCAAAGTTACAACTCAGTGTTAGGACGGAATGAAATCTATTCTAGAGACTAACTCTATACGTTACACTGTTACTAAGTTTTAGTTCAGAATTTACTCTATACTTGACACTAACTCTATACGTTACACTATTACTAAGTTTTAGTTCGGAATTTACTCTATACTTAACACTAACTCTATACGTTACACTATCACTAAGTTTTAGTTCGAAATTTACTCTATACTTGACACTAACTCAGAATCAGGACGGAATGAACACATTTTTTTACCCTTAAGCAAAACCCCCCCCCCCCAAACCAACTTCCCCCCCCACCCCCACCGACAACCTTTGTAATTGAAGATGTAATTTGATATAAAAATCATCGGAGCAATAACGTGTCAACTCACCTGAAGGTTTTGTATGCTCTCGAATGCAGTATAAATAAAGAAATAAGACATGGAGAGAACGACGCACGTCTTCCAAGGAGGCACCAGCGCCGCTTCCTCCATCGCGTCGTCCATCAACTCAAGTGGAGGGGCGCCAGTTTTCGTGGGCGGCGACAACTGCACCGACGTCACGTTTTCAACTTCCGGATACGGCACGTAGAAATATTTAGCGTTGCGGCCCCTGATCACCACACATTTCGGTGACGTCGAAGCCTGAGGTTCCGCCTGCAACGGCGTGACGTCTTCACCATGGCTGTTTAGCGCCACCTGTCCTCTCGATGTGTCTCCGCCATTGTCCATCTTCCACTCACGCCCGGCATGCAGCGTCAAGGCTTTGGTATCATCACGGGCAAGGACTGAATTTTTCTTCTGAGCTGTCTTTGTCGGCGTACCTTCTTATTTTCCTTTTGTTTTTAACCGTTGAGCTAAGCTCGGAGAGTTACTGCCTATTTAATTAATTTTTTTTATAAGACCTTCAGAGCTGGTTTGTGGGTAAAATCACAGAGAAAGACCAATGGATCAAGCACGTATGCCGCAAACAGATATACGTCTCTGAAATTTACTTGAGAGATGCATTCGTCTGGATGTAATCCTTGGTAGCGTCTGATTAATGACGTCAGTTTAATAGAAATTGTAATCACATGTTTTGTCTGGATTCACTGTAGAGAAATTAGATCCAGTGAAACAGAATTTTCATCACCGAGTCAAACACTTTGATATGACATGGACAATGAAAACTTTGATATCCATTTATATATTACCGTGGATGACAGTATAAGATATAGCACCGCGGATGACACTATAAGATATAGCACCGTGGATGACACTATAAGATATAGCACCGTGGATGACACTATAAGATATAGCACCGTGGATGACACTATAAGATATAGCACCGTGGATGACACTATAAGATATAGCACCGTGGATGACACTATAAGATATAGCACCGTGGATGACACTATAAGATATAGCACCGTGGATGACACTATAAGATATAGCACCGTGGATGACACTATAAGATATAGCACCGTGGATGACACTATAAGATATAGCACCGTGGATGACACTATAAGATATAGCACCGTGGATGACACTATAAGATATAGCACCGTGGATGACACTATAAGATATAGCACCGTGGATGACACTATAAGATATAGCACCGTGGATGACACTATAAGATATAGCACCGTGGATGACACTATAAGATATAGCACCGTGGATGACACTATAAGATATAGCACCGTGGATGACACTATAAGATATAGCACCGTGGNAAAAAAAACCTGTTAAAAAAATTGATTAAATAAAAATCCTTTATAAAATGTAATAACAAGCATGGGGGGGGGGGGGTGCGAGAAGGTGACAAATCATGCAGATAAGTAACGCATTTTATAAGACTTCCAATTAGTTCCTCCCCCCCCCCCTTTTTCCCCCCAGCTTCGCAACCGTTTTCTCAAACTTCTGAAAGTTGACAGAAATCAAAAGCAAAGAAAGAATTTGATGACATGAGAAAACCAAAGTTCGTGTACTATGTGATGGTACAGTCTTTATTTATTTTGTTCTCAGCGATGGTAAATAACATGACCATTCCAAGTAGAGAATAATAGGATACTTTACAGGAATGGCCCCTGGTGGGATTGGCGTCCCTGTCCGAGACAAGGACTTGGTGCCCATCTCCGAGTTATGGACTTTGCGCCACTGTAGGAGTTAAGGACGTGGCGCCCTAGTCCAACGTATCCGTTTGGCGCCCCATTGCTTGCTGTCATAGATTATATTTTTAGCTGACACCGCCGTACGTTGCTGTGTTTTGCAATGCCAATCCGTCCACGTCGTTTCATTGCAGGGTGATGACGCAGTTGTACGAAATTGACTGATGACAATGTCAGAATGTAGCTTTGTAAATAGATGTTTTCAAATTTTCAATAGATGTACCAAGAGCTGAGTTTTTAAATTTAAAAAACAAACAAACGAGTTATAGATGAATCAATAGCCATACAGCTTACTGTGATATACAGGTAAATGAAAAAAACTTGAGGTCTTAAAAATTTGGACCCTAATACAGTGTAGATTGGTTCAAATTGAAGACATGAATCAATTTGTTTGTTTCAGGAAAACTCAGTGGCGTGTATAAGTTATGATGGGGGGTTTTCCCCCGTTTCCTTGATCTATCGTGGTAACGACTTCACTGCGTCATTGGGAAAATTACGTCATCAGTCGTGCTCTGTTTCCAGTAATGGGCGATCCACACTCCTCAGTTTGAGAATCACCGCGGTTCGTGTTTACAACAAAAGACGAGCAGTGTCACAGCCAGTCAGCAGAACGGGGCTTGTTTAATCATGTTCTCGCTGCACGTGCAGGGCAGGGTCACGGCCACGAGGAGAGCGTCTGTGATGAGTCCCATGCACCGGCAACAGGGCCTGTTGTGTGGGGAAATAAGATGTATTGTGTGGTCAGTGATCTATATTATGTTATTTTGGTTATCTACATGGGAAAAAAATGTGATTTCGGCAGTTTTCGTTTTTTCAAGGAAATTGGTGTGACAGTGATGGTCGCGAGTGATAGTGATAGTTGCTAGTTTCGGTAATATTCTAGCATAACCGGTTGTTATGAAAATATTAAGAGCAATATAGAAAACCAGGGCTTAACCGGGTCTAGGTTTTTAAACCGGGTCCTAGTATTTGAGTGGTGGGTCCAAGTGTTACATAAAAAAAAGAGAGTTAAATATATTTTAAATAAAAGTCGTACACCTTACCTGTCGGTCTATAAACAATAATCCTTCAAACAGTCTTACACCATACCCGTGACTCTTTATAGATTAATATCATAGTCACCTCCCAAAATTTCAACTTGTTTACTTGAGCTCGACCGGCACGCACGACGCTTGCTTCTTCATAGCCCCCCCCCCCCCAACTCAAAACTATTAATATAAAACGTTTTGAGTAGGGGGGGGGCGCCGGTCGGGAAACCGAATCAGCCACCCCAGAAGCAAAATCTATTTAAGAGATACGCGAATGCATTGACATTTTTTTGTTTGAACAGTAGCGACAGGATCGTTGCTTTAACGGTAGCACCCAGCTCACCATCCCCGTGCCTCTTTATAGATTAAAATCATAGTCCCCCCCCAAAATTTCAACTTGTTTACTTGAGCTCGACCGGCCCCCACGACGCTTGCTTCTTCATAGCCCCCCCCCCCCCCAACTCAAAACTATTAATATAAAACGTTTTGAGTAGGGGGGGGGCGCCGGTCGGGAAACCGAATCAGCCACACCAGAAGCAAAATCTATTTAAGAGATACGCGAATGCATTGACATTTTTTTGTTTGAACAGTAGCGACAGGATCGTTGCTTGAACGGTAGCACACAGCTGCACGTGCTGGGGTGTGTCTATGCCAATCAACAAACGAAATTACCACGTTTATAGCATGTCATAGAAGGGAGCCAATCATGACGTCATTTATCGGTTGTATACAAACTGGTTACATTTTGTTATTTGGCGGCCACTTGTTAAATCTGCTTAGCATTTGAAGTCTCCACAATGAAGTTAGATATTTCAGATTCTCTTTCATAATCGCACGCACACCCATGAATTCATTTTATGTGTTGCTCAATGCATTTAGACTCCTTTTTTTTTTGGGTAGGGGTCCCGAATACAGACTCAATGGTTATAATTAACCTGCCCAAACACAGACACAGGGCCGTCTTTTAACAGCATCGGCGACCCTGGGCAAAATTATGCGCTGAGCTGGCTTCCTCCCTCATTTCTTTCTAGTCTACTAAAGAAAAATTAGGAGAAGCAGTTGCAGCCTTAGTTTCACCAATGCGTTTTGACGAGTATTTCCTTCAGACAATTTTATTTGGGTTTGGCGGTGAAGGGCTTATGTGGGATTCAGGAAGGGTGTAGAGTGCAGTGTAGAGTGAGTAAAATCCAAATTTTGTAAGTTCAAGAAAATCATTTGAATTACAGACACCCACTAATCTAAGTGTAGTAAAAAAAAAATGTGCCGCTGTTGTCAATTTGATCGGGAAGGGGGGGGGGGCATAAATCGAGGATGCCACATGCTCCCGAAAGAAATAGGAACTGGGGTTGGGGTTTGGGCTCAGTAGGAAACACTCCCTAGAAAAGATTTGATAAATTCTGTATGCAAGGATGCATTTTGGCACATGCCAGAATTTAGTTTGGCATCATGCTTTACTTAATTGGTTCGCAACAGAAGAGATGCCCGTGGAAATTTAGTTGACCCTTGACCTGTTTGTGTTTATACAAATCCTTTTATGTTTTGTAACAATTTTAAAAAAATTCATACTGCTTATTTCTTGACACCACTTCATGAATAAAAATGAAATTTTTGTTAAATATTTACTTTCAAAAGAGTTGTCCGTCACAGACAAGAACTGCTAACATCATTACGCATGTTGATCGAACAAGAAACAAAACTATATGTACAATTATTACCTTTTTGGCATTTGTTTAGTATTGAAAATGTTTACAAGATTTATAGATAAAACAAATATTTAGAAATAGAGCAAATACTGTTTTTGTATTTATGTGTTTATGAGTGTTTAAAACTTGTCATTTTTATACATTGTATTTAATCTAATAACACCCCCAAAATCCAGGATTTTGTTGTTGTTGTTTTTAATTGACGATTTAAAAAAAACAAAAAAAACAAGTACCAAACAAAACAGAAAAATGTAGATTTGAAAATCGAGAAACTAGTACACACAAACTAGTACACACAAACACGCCAGCTAGTACACACAAACTAGTACACACAGACACGCCAGCTAGTACACACAAACTAGTACACACAAACACGCCAGCTAGTACACACAAACTAGTACACACAAACACGCCAGCTAGTACACACAAACTAGTACACACAAACACGCCAGCTAGTACACACAAACTAGTACACACAAACACGCCAGCTAGTACACACAAACTAGTACACACAAACACGCCAGCTAGTACACACAAACTAGTACACACAAGCGAATACACACACACGAATACACCCCAACTAGTACACACAAACGATTTCAAACAAACGAGTACACACAAACTTGTACACA